TGTATATTCATTTGTTTGAGGACTAACATGATAATGTAACTAAAACGAGTTGAACTAATAAGATTAGAAATATATCAAAAATTCATTGTCAAAGAATCATTTCTCTAAATTGTCCTTTTTGTTCTTGCATAAAAACTGCAGACGTAGGTGTATATTAACGTAGACGGGAACATGCTTTTACAGATACAATTACGAAAGCATGCACTTTGTTTTTAATATGCATGACTCAGGGCGCCATGTGTAACGGATATAAACGGGAAGTCATGACGACACCTGTGTTACAGTTATGTGGAAAAAATAACAGGCGCAAATGTAACTTATTTAAGAATAGCGATAATACACAATTTGTGCCTGCATTATATCTGCATATTTTGATCCACGTTAAACCGTGCATTAATTCTCTTTTTATTTTTCAGAGCACTTCTTGCTTGATCTACAGATAAATGTTTATGCTAAAAATGGTGAAAAAAGTGCTGAAGGGAATCAACGAGTTTTTGAAGTAATGAGAGACTATATTAAAGATAACGAAGATATGACTGGTTCGTCATTTGATGAAAGATCAACTGATACACCAGTCTATTACCTCGTAGATTTCATCAAGGAAATAAAGAAATGTAGTATTGTTGATATTTCTGCCACCAACCAATCGTCAACAGACATACACATCAACTGCACCAGTTCGAAGGCCATGGAAGATTTTCTTAAGTCTATCATCAGTAACGAATTTCAACAAAAACTGTTTGACCTTAGACGATGGCTACAAGTGCAACATGACATTGAATCGTATGACATAATGGCTAATTGCTCATCGAATGGCATAGAGAAAGCAAAACAACGTCTGCGTGAGTTAAATATGAATAATAATGATTTATGATACCTTTTATATGTAACAGTGTTTTCTGCTCCTGTCGGTGCATTTGTAATCAGTGCATATTAATAGTATTAATTGATTTATCAAAATTAATTAAAAAGTTGTTAGCTCTATATTGTTAAGATATCTAAGGATTATTGGAAAACTTAATACATTGATATTTTTTATTCTGTAATCACAAAAACATGTACAGATATTTGAAAACGTAAAACTACTGTCTTCAGACTTTACTGGAGTAACCAGATCTTTGAATTGTGCCGAACATCAAAATACACAATGTACTCTCTATTGTCCTGACCATGACACGTTTTTATGTACAGCATGCAGAGAATCAAAACATGGGTAATTATACATTTCTTAAAATCAGTAATTTATAGTGGTTAATATAGAACAAAAAGTATCAAATTAAACAAACGAATTTTAAAATCGTGCAACAATGACCGACAACTTATCTGTCAGAAACATTTAAGTTTGATTATCTCTTAAAAAATTTGTAAACAAATTAGAAGAATTTATAGTTTGGAAAAAGATAATCATTTGATACTTTAATTGACCCGACACTTTAATTGTATCCCTCATTTTAGCATATTGAAATAATTTAAATTTATTTGGTAAGTAAGACGAACATGAGGAATTTTTGCACTTCGATTTTGAACAACATATTTCTTAGAGGTTAATACTTAGTTCCCCTGCTCGCCATTGTGCGATAATGGCCCGACGATGTTCATAATGACACGAGGACCGCAGAACATCGGTGTCCATCACCACACGGCGGGCAGGAAACAAGTATTAACGTTTTTAAAACCTCCGGAATACCGTTGAGGTCATCGTGGTCAGCAGATTTAATGTACTGTATGTCATGCGAAATAATGATGACTAGCTAAACGTATTGCACTATCGGACTGTCGTCATCGCATTATCACATTGTCGCCATCACACTATCGCTTTGTCGCATTATCGTTCTGTCCTCATTATCGTTATCACACTGTCGTATAACCACGTAGACCTTACGGTTTTCCATAAATACCTACATTTCAATATCGCCGCTTATCTTGGTTGTCGCAATTTCTAAGAAACGTTCAGGTTGTCAATTTATACAAATATGTCTGTCATTCGGTTAACAAACTAGCAATTGATAGAAGGAAGGGGTGCAGACCTTTTGCACATATGTTATAAATAAACACGAAACTTACAGAATTATAGGTACAAACAATGTGTTCATACATTTGTTTATAATAGCGGCCAGTTTCTTTTTATACACCAGTTTTTGGCAAATTCAACACATATTTCTGAGCGCTTTAAAAATGATTCAATACCAAAAATTAATCGAAATTAGGTGTGGAACTAGTTTTCCCCAAATACAAGTGCATACGATTATATATGAAATTGATATTGTATAAACGTACAGTCAGTTTTGTACGTGCAATATATTGATAGAATGTGTATGCATAAATCCGGAAATACACACCTTTTCAATCTTCGTGGGACAGAATTGCTATAACCGCTGTCTGTCTATCAAACATGTGTATATGTACTTTTTATGTCTGTTAATCTCGGGTACATGTATAACAATGTACATTCAAAAAGGGTTTATACTCTTAATGTTTAATAAACTTAGTTATAGAAGCATTCATAATGTGGAACAGATTGCCCTGATTCTTTCCAGTAATGACGGATACATAATAATTATGAACTGATTTACGCTCGATCTAACGGACTAATACTTACAAAAGGCAGTCGGTGCGTGGCTTGGATAGTATACATGTACATGAACACGCCCACTCATTCTTGTACCCCGAAGGGAGGCAAAATATAATCGCACCGTCCGTCTGTCCGTCCGTATGGCCGTCTGTGCGTCCTCACTTCATTCGTGTCCGGACTGTAACTTTGACAAATGAGTTGCGTCCAAGAACCACGTCCCTGCCTCAAAAGTCAAGGTCACACTATCATTTTGAAGTTTCACATTATCGCAATTCGAGTTTATAGGTACACACAATCGTGTCCGGGCTGTAAATTTGTCATGCATGGAAGGATTTTAAAATAACTTGGCGTAAATGACTACAACATCAAGACAATGTGTCGCGTCTAATAATCACGTCCCTACCTTACAGGTCAATGTCGCACTACCATTTTGAATTTCACTTTATCACAATTAGAGTTTATAGGTACATACATTTGTGTCCGGGCTGTAAGTTGATCATGCATACAAATCCTTGCCCGGATATTCACGCCGTTACCGAGCTTCGCTCAATCTCGACTGTGCGAAACGGGGTACGCATCAGGTAGGCCTATATCCGGGTCAGGATTTGTATACATGTAATGTGGGAAAATTTAAAAAGTTAACTGCAAATAACTACTGCCTACCTACAGACGTCTTCGATTAAATTTGGACCGGTAAGCGATAGTATTTTAGCTGCCTTTTCTGTTTCAACTGTTTGCATGCACTGACATTAGTTTTTTTATTAAGAAAAATATCGATTAATGTTCAAAATCGTCTTCTTACCGTTCGGTCAAGCGATGTCCGACCTAGACAAAAAGTGCATTTTCGCTTTAAAATTCCATCTTTTGTCGTACTAACTGGTCTAATATTGTACAGTTTTCGAAAGATAAATTATTTTTGTGTAGATTACACTTTATTTCACTCTCCTTTATTTCGTGAAAATTGGTTGGTTTACAATTAACCAAGAACTCGGAGGTAAAATAAAGTATGTTGGTAGTTCCGCCGGCGAACCTTTCTACCTTTATTATATTTATGAAATATTATTGATGAAATTTTTAAAAACAACTTTTAGTATAAAAACATTTTAAGTGAAAAAATATTTTATTAGTGAAAAAAAAAAAAAATAAGTGGGCGTGGTCATGTACATGTATACTATCCAAGCCACGCACCGACTGCCTGTGCTAGTTATCGATGGCACCGTTACATCTCAAGCGGGAGAAATTATTGTAAACGGCAACAATGAGCGACCTATTTTAATTGATAGATATACATTACTTATTCATGAAACAACAATGATATTCAAATAGTAATTTAAATCATTAGAAAACGTCAGTTGTAATGTCACAAGGCATATTAAATATACTGGCAAATGTTCCCTTCCATAGTTATTGTCTTTGTTCAAATCTTAACATACATTTCCTTTAAATACATATTGTATTCATAGTTATTGTTCATAGTTAATTTAATTTGAAATTAACCTGTTGTTTGTTAGTTTGTAAGTAACGACTTTATTTATTTAAGGTGGCTTACACATTTGGTTTTCCAATCTTTCAAGTGGGTCTCAGCTGAAGCATATATACACAACGTATATACACAGACGTCATATTGCAATGTTAGCCATGTTTTAAAAAAATGTCTATAATTAAAGTCATGTCATTAAAACTAGTGTAAAAGTCCATAGAACTTTCTGCACTATGCTAGATGATTGTATAGCTAGTGTTTGTCGATAATTTTGTTTGTGATATATTTTGTATTCATAATCATAAATGAACATTGTGTCAATAAAATAATGGTGTTTTTTTCTATTTATACAGCACATGTCTTGGAATAAAACAAGTTATATCTGAAAGGTCTTACGTTGAACAGAAACGTCATCTCAACATCAAAAGTATAAAAGGATCTTATAACGTCAAGATAGATAATACTTTGATAAATAGAGACAACAATGATCAATATGAGTGTGGTATCACTGGTATGTGTATGCTTCCTAATAGTAAAGTTCTCCTTGCTGACAGCATGAATAACAGACTGAAGACATTGAATAGTTTGTACAAGGTAGTAAGTCACTGTGATGTACGTAAAAGTCCCTATTCTGTATGTTATATAGGCAATGATACAGCTGTCGCTGGTTTAAGAGGCAATACCATACAGTACGTGAATATATTAGGTAATATTAACCTGACACAATTAGAGAAGCTAGATCATGTATGTTACGATCTAGCTTGTCACGGTGACACACTCTATGTAAGCAGTAAAAACACAATTTACAAATATGACAAAAACTGTAAACAAAAACAAGTTCTCTATCATAATCCGAAGATAATCTACAGTCCAAAAATTGCTGTAAGTGACAATGGGGAACGAATCTACTTAGGTTTACGTACAGATCTAACTACAATAGATGCCAAAGGAAATCATTTAGATGACAGTTCACAAATTGACGATTATAACACACTATTACATAATATATGTGATATATGTATTGCTGGTGAAGGTATTGTTCTTGTATTAAAGCAAAAAATTCTAAAAAACAATGTTCATCAACTGGATTATAATGGAAAAAAGCTTCAGGCTGTAGATAACATAACATTAGATATTTTATTTCTGCGTTCTATCTGTTTTGACAGAGAAAGATGTAGACTTATTGTTGGTAGTGGAGAAGACAAGATACATGTTTACAAATGCGAGTTTTTGCCAAGTTAGTTAATAAAATTTTGATAAACCAAGAACCAAATGAAAAATGCATCGCTTATCTAAGTATTTTGTTCATTTAAATTTATAAATTTGTATTTTTGCTTATTTCTTCATCAAGTCATTGCTTAATATTTTGATATCGCACTTATGTACATTAAATGTATTTGTAAGGACATGTATATGTAAGATAGCTTTTTCATAATAAAGGTTGAAACTTTTTTGAATCCAAATCGAAACTATTGAACAACAAGACAATCTTGTTAAAGTCATGACTAACGAATTGAGATTGATTTATCCAGCATATTTGCCCCTACCCAAAAGATTGTTCAGGTTCTTCGGGGATCAAAGTATGTTTTTCTTTCAGAATACAATAGGTACAATCTAATATGATATTTAAGACAGCTAGCATAGTTAATACATTGTTGCATATGTCAGTTGTGAATATGGTAATGCATGTACATGTACTATATTACACTTGATAAATTAATTTTAGTAGTTCATTATATATATATGCAAATTTTTTTTTTAAGCACATATAAAAAAAATAATTTTCCTACCTACCCAACCCTAATTTTAATGAGTCGGGAAGGAGAAACAAACATCAATTGTATTGGACATGGCTGTTAAACCTATAAAATTGTACAGCTGTTGATTGATTAATACTCAAGTTATTGAGCGGAAACTGTTTTCAGTTTTTGTTAGGTAATAGTGACTTTGACCTTGTGACCCCAAAATCAAAAGCAGTCTTCTATCCAATATGGACAATCACCCTATGAAGTTTGAATACTGTGGACCAAATAGAACTTAAGTTATGCTCCGGAAACCATTTTCAGTGTTAGGGCAATAGTGACCTTGATCTTTGACCTTGTGATCCCAAAATCAATAGGTTTCTTCTACCCAATATGGACAATCATCCTATGAAGTTTGAAGACTGTGGGCCAAATGGAACTTAAGTTATGCTCCGGAAACCATTTTCAGTTTTAAGGTAATAGTGACCTTGACCTTTGATCTTGTGACCCCAAAATCAATAGAGGTCTTCTACCAATATGGACAATCATCCTATGAAGTTTGAAGACCGTGGGCCAAATGGAACTTTAGTTATGCACCGGAAACCATTTTCAGTTTTAAGGAAATAGTGACCTTGACCTTTGACCTTGTGACCCCAAAATCAATAGGTTTCTTCTACCCAATATGGACAATCATCCTATGAAGTTTGAAGACTGTGGGTCAAATAGAACTTAAGTTATGCTCCGGAAACCATTTTCAGTTTTAAGGTAATAGTGACCTTGACCTTTGATCTTGTGACCCCAAGATCAATAGGGGTCTTCTACCAAAAATGTTCAATTACCCTATGAAGTTTGAAGACTGTGGGCCAAATGGAACTTTAGTTATGCACCGGAAACCATTTTCAGTTTTAAGGTAATAGTGACCTTGACCTTTGATCTTGTGACCCCAAAATCAATAGGGGTCTTCTATCCAATATGGGCAATCATCCTATGAAGTTTGAATACTGTGGCCCAAATGGAACTAAGTTATGCTCCGGAAACCAAATTGCTAACAGACGGACGAACGTTCTCACAGGACAGCAATTATGTGGCTACTCTATTGCTCTTTTTAGCCACACAAAAGAAAATAGCCACATAAAAGCATTACGGAATGAATGACATCAAAGAGAAACAACAGTAACCTATTGTTCCTCTAGCCACATAATTACCGTCCTGTGAATGCAGTCAGACGGACGGACGCCAGGGGGTATAACATATGCCCAAAATTCAACAGTGACCTTGACCTAACTCGTAGAAACCCAAGTCTTGTTCGCGACACACAATACGTCTATGGTTATTTCATATGAAAAAGAAAAATTAGAATCCTTCCATGCATACTGAAGTTTCACAGTGGACACAACCACCACCTATATTTATATAACGTAAAAAATGACAAAGTTTTAACCCCCACAGTGACCTTGACCTTGGTCGTAGGAACCCAAGTCTTGTTCGCGACACACCATAACTCTATGGTTATTTCATATATGAAAGATAAATTAAAATCCTTTCATGCTCACTGATGTTTCAGAGCGGACATGACCACCACCTTCTGTATTTATACAAGAGGGTCATGATGGCCCTGAGTCGCTCACCAAAAACAACTGCTTTTCAGTGTTGGAATGTCAATATATTCTCATATTAAATTTGAGCATAGAATATTTTTAAACAATAAATTGAAGAAATGCCATAACCTGGGGCATTTAAGCTTTTGCTTAAACGGGGCTAATCACATTAATATGGGCAAACTTGATAAAAGACTACCTAAGAATGCTACAAAGTTTGGTGACAATCTATCAATTATTTCAGTAGGAAATGATGTTTGAAGGGTTTTTTAGTGGCCCTTATAAGGGGCTAATTAAATTAATATAAGCAAACTTGATAAAAGAGTACCCAAGTATGCTACAGACAAAGTTTGGTGATCATCCATCAATTGGTTCTTAAGTAGGAGATGTTTAGAAAGGTTTTTCTATTTTTAGCTTTAGCGGCCCCTAAAAGGGGCCAATCAAATTAATGTGAGCAAACTTGATAAAAGATTACCCAAGAACGCTACAGACAAACTTTGGTGATCATCCATCAATTAGTTCTGTAGAAATAGACATTTAACGGTATTTCTATTTTTAGCTTTTGCGGCCCTAAAAGGGGCCAATCAAAATAATATTAGCAAACTTGATGAAAGACTACCCAACAATGCTACAGACAAATTTTGGTGATCATCCATCAATTAGTTCTCTAGAAATAGACATTTAACGGTATTTCTATTTTTAGCTTTAGCGGCCACTAAAAGGGGCCAATCAAATTTATATGAGCAAACTTGATAAAACACTACCCAAGACTGCTACAAGTATGGTGATCATCCATCAATGAGTTCTGTTTAAAGGTTTTTCTATTTTTAGCCCCAGAGACCCCTAAACGGGGCCAATCAAAATAATATGAGCATACTTGATAAAAGACTACCTAAGAATGCTACCGACAAAGTTTGGTGATCATCCATCAATTAGTTCTGTAGAAATAGACGTTTAAATGTTTTTCTATTTCAGCTTTAGCGGCCCCTAAAAGGGGCCAATCAAATTCATATGAGCAAACTTGATAAAAAAACTACCCAAGAATGCTACATACAAAGTTTGGTGATTATCCATCGATTAGTTTTGTAGAGGAAGATGTTTAAAGGTTTTTCTATTTTTAGCCCTAGAGACCCCTAAAAGGCGCCAATCAAATTAATATGAGCAAACTAGATAAAAGACATCCCAAGAATGCTACAGACAAAGTTTGGTCATCATCCATCAATTAGTTCTGTAGAAGATGTTTAGAGGTTTTTCTATTTTTAGCTCTGCTGACCCCTAAAAAGGGGCCAATTGGAATGACATGAGCAAATTCAAGTGTGACCGTTACATGGATGCTACAGACCAAATTTCAAGTAAATCTGCCCTGTAGTTTCAGAGAAGAAGACGATTGTCGACGCATGACGAGGGAGCATCCCCCTTAGATACTAATAGCTCACCCTGAGCCTTCGACTCTGGTGAGCTAATAACAAAAACAAGAACACCGCTAGGCGGAGCATTATATGCCCGAAAGTTTTTTTTTTTAATTTTAGTAAGGATGAAGCATTTGTAAGACGTGAGAATTAAATAAAGTATTACCTCCTTCAAATAGCAATCCTCCTATGAAGTTTGAATATTGTGGGCCAAAAAGAAATTAAGTTATGCTCCGGAAACTGTTTCAATTTTAAGGTAATAGTGACCTTGAACTTTGATCTTGTGATCCCAAAATCAATAGGGGTCTTCTACCCAATATGGACAATCATACTATGAAGTTTGAAAACTGTGGGCCATATGGAACTAAAGTTATGCTTCGGAAACTGTTTTCAGTTTTAAGGTAATTGTGACCTTGACCTTTGACCCCTAGATCAATAGGGGTCGTCTACCCAATATGGACAATCATCCTATGAAGTTGGAATATTGTGGGCAAAATGAAACTCGAGTTGTGCTCCGGAAACCAAATTGCTAACGGACGGACATCCGGGGATAAAACATTCGGCATATAAAAATCACACAGTGGTAGAAACCAGTCTTGTTCGCAAAACACCATACATCTATGGTTATTTTTGATATGTGAAAGAAAAATTAAAATCCTCCCATTCATACTGAAGTTTCAGAGCGGTCACGACCACCACCTTCTATATTTACATAACATAAAAAATGACAGTTTGAACCCCCACAGTGACCTTGACCTTAGTGGTAGAAACCCAGAGTCTTGTTCGCGACACACTATACATCTATGGTTATTTCATGTGAAAGAAAAACAAGAGCCACCGCCGGGCGGGGGCAACGCTCGACTTTTTACTTTTTCTAAAAGCAAACAAAGAAAGGCTTGAACATATCTTAACGTTTCCTTTTTATAAATTTAGTTGGTCTGTCTTGTCACATGAATAGAAACACACAATTTTATAAATAGAAACAGGCAATTCAATAAATAGAAAGACGCAATTCTATAAATAGAAACACGCAATTCTATAAATAGAAACTAGCAATTCTATAAATAGTAACACGCAATTTTATAAATAGCACAATTCTAAAAATAGCAACACGCAATTCTATAAATAGTAACACGCAATTCTATAAATAGAAACAGGCAATTCTATAAATAGTATCACGCAATTCTAAAAATAGTAACACGCAATTCTAAAAATAGTAACACGCAATTCTATAAATAAAAACACGCAATTCTAAAAATAGTTACACGCAATTCTATAAATAGAAACACGCAATTCTAAAACTAGAAACATGCAATTCTAAAAATAGTAACACTCAATTCTAAAAATAGTAACACACAATTCTATAAATAGTAACACAAAATTCTAAAAATAGTATCACGCAATTCTAAAAATATATAAATAGTAACATAAAATTCTAAAAATAGAAACACGCAATTCTTAAAATAGTAACACTCAATTCTATAAATAGAAAC